TGTTGATTGTTACTATTATATATTGTTAAATTTATGATTTAGCCCGGCTGGGTATTGTGTTTTTAGACGTTGTATCCACTTATTTTCATGGGACTCTAAAATCTTTCTAATGTTATCTGCTCTGAACTTTTCTATTCTCTCAATTATAGTGAATTTGGCATGGGTTTTGAAATCGTGTTTTTCCAAACGGAAATGTTGTTCTACAGGTAATAATTTTCATAGGGAATTTTTCGATTGCGATAATTATTAATTCTGTAGTTAAAGGGCCATTCAGATTTTCCTACATATTGTTTCTGGCATAGTGTGCATTCTAGGAGGTAAATTATGTTTTGACTTCTATTAGAATCGTGGTGATTTTGAAAGTAGTGATTGATGAATTCGTGTTTTTAATATGGTTGCAACATAAACTTCTTTTGTTGTTACATGGTTGGGAAAATCCTGTTGTTTTTGTTCTTACTTTATTACGGATTACCTTGTCCCCTGAAATGTGGTTACTACCTATGATTTCTTTTAGGTTCTTAGGTCTACGATATGCAAGAAGGCCGGGTTCCTTAAACATTTTTTTAGGTCTGGTTTGAGATGTAGTATTTCCCAGCGACGTTTGATTATTTGGGATAGTGGAGGCAGAGTGGGATTGAAAGTGGTTACTAGAGGGATGCGGCTAGATTTATTTTTAATCTTGTACATTAGGGTGTCTTCTCTAGGTGTGGAAATTGCTTTATTTATTTGTTCCCTGATTAGGTGTTGTTTATAGCCACGTGTTGTGAATTGATGCTCCAGATTTTCAATGTGTTTATTTAATTCTTCATTGTTGGAACATATCCTTCTGAGTTTAAGTGCTTGTGAATAGTGAAGGTTCTCTTTGAGGTGTTTAGGGTGGGAAGACTTAAAGTGTAGATAGTTGTGGGTGTCGGTGATTTTAGTGTGTAGTGTCGTTTGTAGTTTCCTGTTTTCATCTATGTAAATGCGGGTGTCTAAAAATGCTACTGATGTTGTGGATTTTTCATAGTCAAACTTAATTGAGTCGTGCACTGTGTTTAGGGTCATAAGAAATTGAGTAAGTTTGTCATCACTACCCGTGTATACAAAGAATATATCATCGATATATCTTGCATAGAATACGCAGTCGCTACCAATGATTGGATAGATATGGGTTTCCTCAAATTTTCCCATGAATATTGTAGCATATGATGGAGCTGCAATGGTGCCCATGGCACAACCTCTTATTTGAAGATAGTGTGCTCCATTGAAGTTGAAATATTCAATGTAAGGACATGCTCCATGAGTTTTATGATGACTTCTGTGGGGGGTCTTGTTTTCTTCTTTTAGTAAGTGCTTCCTGAAAGGCGGTTAGCCCTTCGATGTGTTTAATGTTTGAATAGAGTGACCTAACGTCCATAGTCACTAGAATAGCATTCTCTGGAACTGTTTGTATGTGATTAATTTTGTTCAGTAGATCTGTTGTGTCTCTGATGTAGGATTTTACTTCCTTAGCTAGCGGTTGTATGTAATTGTCTATGTATTTGGAAATTTTTGTCGTGTGGCAGTTGAACGATGAAATAACCGGCCTTCCTGGGTTGTTGCTTTTGTGTATTTTAGGAAGGAGATAGAAACGAGCAGGGGTAATGTTTGTGGGTGTAAGTGCTGTGCATGTTTCCTTGTTGATTAGATTGTTGCGAAGGATTATGTTTAGTGAGCTAGTTAATTCTTTTTGGTATTCGAGAAGGGGATCTGTAGGTAAGCTTTTATAGGTTTCTTTGTCGGCTAGCTGTTTGTTGGCCTCTTTAATGTATTGTTCGATTCCCCAGATCACTGTCGCACCCCCTTTGTCAGCCTGTGTTATGATTAGGTCATCTCTATGTGTCAGCGTATCGAGGGCTATACGTTCCCCTTCAGTAATATTGACACGTGGTAGCTTACGTGCTATTGTTTTCTTTACGTCCTTTGCTACAGCTAGTTCAAATGTCTGTATAGTAATGTCTGTGTTTTGTGGGGTGTAGGTAGTGTTCTTCTCTTTTAATGTATCAATATGGAAGGTGTGTGATCATTTATATATATATATATATTTAACCGTATTCTTCTGAAGAATATTTATATCCTTTGCCAAGGTGTCTTTATCAAACCTTGGCGGACTAGGGCAAAAGCTTAGTCCTTTATTTAATACCCTAAATGTATTGAGTGAAAATTTATTGTTACTCAAATTTATAACTTTTCTCTGGGTCAATTTTGAATTTGCAAGCATGGCGAATTCTTTTGTAAAAGCTATATATGCATATATCTCCTATATATATGCTATATATCCAGGTGTCCTGGTTAGGGCTTATTCCGTTTTTTTAAGGTTGAGTGTTTGCTGTTGATTGTCTACTATATATAATCTATATATATGTCTAATGGGGTTATGCGTTCTGTAAGAAGGGCTGCTGTGTTTGGTTTGTATATATATTGTACGGCACCCTATATGTCCGCGTAAGTTAGTGGTTTGTTTTGTGTGTGTGTTTGT